ATCTACTGATAGTATGTCGTGTCGCAGTAATACATTTCATACCTATTCGTCACAATCAACTGTTGATATCAATATGTAAATACTATACGTATCGTACCTTGACCAAATTCTTTGTCATAAGAACATGAAAGAAAGACACAAATTTCCTGATGACAACAGGGGGGCGAAGCCCCTCATAAATTCTTATCTAGTTATTATTCAAGGTTATGCAAAGCACGGATAAATACTTCCCCAACAAGCCTGGCTGGGCTGTGCGTGTGTTACTAATCTATGTGACACAGTCAATATATCAATGTGCAAGAACTTCAAGCCAACAGTAATGGCAACGATGACATCAATTACCTCTGACAAGAAATGGTTAGAAAAGAGTCTTAAAAATGAATACATTCGATTCTATCCTTATGATGGTTTAATCAATAGCTGCTGCATAGGCCATGGTGCAGTTGGTGTAGTTTTCAAAGCAACAGTAGCAACATCGGGCATCACTGTTGCTTACAAGTTGATCATAAATTCGGATGAAAGCGAGTTCTTTAAAGACTTTGTAAACGAGGTTTGTAATAATGTATGACGGAATTGTTGCTAGGTCTATGAAACTATGGTCTTATATGTTATTCGTTTTGTATTCTAGCTCAAAATCCATCGTAGAGTAGATGACCATCCCAATATAATTCGATTCCTTGGTGTTAGCAAAGGTACGGTGAAAAGATTCAATATGTTAGAAATAAGCATGGATATAATACTTTTTTGACCCTTTAATAGATATCGAAGGAAGATACTTGATGGTCTTCGATTATGCCGACAATGGTTCATTACGTAAATACTTATCGACGTCAGCCATCAAACTAGATTGGCCTGCCAACTGTCAACTGGGTTTGGATATCGTTAACGGATTGAGATATATTCATAGAGTAGGAATCTTGCATAAAGATTTAGTAAGTGTATTCCTCATTAATACGATTTTATTTAACGTCAATTGTATATTGACATATTGCTTCTCAATGTTATCACAAGTCTTCGAACAACGTATTAATTCATGGGAAAACGGCTAAGATCACAGATTTTGGAACATCTGAAAAAATATTACTGCGAAAGACTTGCTCAGATCACCGAGGAACTTATGCATATCTTGACCCTAAATGCTTTAATGACAACAATAGTAAACGAGATGAGAAATCTGATATTTTTAGCCTTGGAATTGTTCTATGGGAAATATCCAGCAGAGAATATCCATGTAGTGAATTCAACAGTATATCAGACATTCAGCTTTATAGGATGAATGGTGGTCGCCATGATGTAGTTCCAGGCACACCAGAAGAGTATAAAATTTTATATACAGAATGCTGGAACAACGATTCAGAAAAACGACCAACTAGTGACCAATGCCATCACAGATTAAAAAATATAATGGAAGAACTGAACCAGTTACAAAAATGTAATTCTAATACTAACCCAAAAAACAAGATTATAGATCACACTCTTTCTAATGAGTTGTCAATATTATACAAAAATTTAAGATTTAAGGGGAAATCTTCTAAACAAATAGCTGATTATATCAAAAATTGGCTGGTACAAAATAACAATAGGCAAGAAAGTTCATTGACTACACTAAAGACTCATACTGATTGTGGGCAATGTTTTTTGCTGATTGGATTCTTCTATGCACATGGAATAGAAACAGAAACAGATCTTGAACAAGCTGTTCAATGGTATCAGCAATCAGCAAAGGCAGGCAATGCTGCAGCACAATATAGTCTTGGTTATTGCTATAGGCATGGGAAAGGAGTGGAAAAAAATATTCAAAAAGCAGTTGAGCTGTATCAGAAAGCAGCTGAACAAGGATATGCTGAGGCACAAAATTATCTTGGTAATTGCTATTGGTATGGGAAAGGAGTGGAAAAAAATATTCAGAAAGCAGTTGAGCTGTATCAGAAGGCAGCAGAACAAGGAAATGCCACGGCACAGAATAATCTTGGTATTTGCTATGAGCATGGGAAAAGTGTGGAAAAGAATATTCAAAAAGCAGTTGAGCTGTATCAGAAAGCAGCTGAACAAGGATATGATGTAGCACAATTTAATCTTGGTATTTGCTATGAGCATGGGATGGGAGTGGAAAAGAATATTCAAAAAGCAGTTGAGCTGTATCAGAAAGCAGCTGAACAAGGAATTACCACAGCACGATTAAACATTGGTTCTATAAGAATGATACAGGCATGGAAAGAAAGTATCCAAAAGATAGTTGAGCTGTTTAGAAAATAGCTAACCAAGGACTTGTTGAGGCACAATATAATCTTGGTGTTTTCTATAACAATGGGAGAGGTGTGGAAAAGAATATTCAAAAAGCAGTTGAGCTGTATATCAGAAAGCATCTGAACAAGGATATGCCATGGCACAAAATAATCTTGGTGTTTGCTATAACAGTGGGATAGGTGTGGAAAAGAATATTCAAAAGGCAACTGAGCTGTATCAGAAAGCTGCTGAACAAGGATGTAATGTGGCACAGCGTAATCTTGGCCTTTGTTATAAGCATGGGAAAGGAGTGGAAAAGAATATTCAAAAAGCAGTTGAGCTGTATCAGAAAGCAGCTGAACAAGGAGATTATGTAGCACAATTTAATCATGGTTATATAAGAATGAGACAGGCATGGAAAAAAATATTCAAAAAGTGGTTGAGCTGTATCAGAAAGCAGTAGAACAAGGCACAATTTAATCTTGGTCTTTGTTATAAGTATGGGAAAGGAGTGGAAAAGAATATTCAAAAGCAGTTGAGCTGTAGAAAGCTGAACAAAGATATACCATAGCACACAGTGTAATCTTGGTTTTTGCTATGACAATGGGACAGGAGTGGAAAAGAATATTCAAAAAGCAATTGAGCTGTATCAGAAAGCAGTTGAACAAGGAAATACCAATGCACGATTTAATCTTGGTTTTATAAGAATGAGACAGGCATGGAAAAAAAAATATCAAAAAGAAAAAAAGATAGTTGAGCTGTATTAGAAAACAGCTGAATAAGGATAATGGTGTATGTACACTATAACCTAACTAGAAATTAATAATTCTGTGTCTGATTAGAATTTTCAAACATTTAAGAACAACGTGTTCTGGTACACAGCACAGTGGTTGTTCTGTCTACCGTTTTCTTTATCAGGTGTTCATTATTCCGGGTATATTTATAAGGAAGTTTTATATAATTTTCAGTATACCCTCGTTATAAAAGGATAACAGTTTGCTATTATAATTGTAATTATGTATTACTGTAAATTTTGGTCATGATAACAATAAAAGTAGACCAGAAATAACATTAATTTTGCTTGTTCAACAGAAACTTTATTGTATGCAAAATTGCGCATCGAATGTTAAGCATAGTATACTATGTCAAGAATAGTCTGTCATGCTAATTGGTGTTAGGAAGATTCACCCGCTTGAACATCGATAGTGTGTACTGCAGTTGTCGAGTCGAAATGAACAAAAAAAAAAGATCAGAACTGTGTGCAAAGCGTCAAAGTGAAATGAGTTAATTTTCGAGACTTCACATAGCAATACCCATTACAATCGAAAAACAAGCATGATTTGATGTTTCTAAATTGTGGCTAGATACGAATTTATGAGGCTTCGCCCTCGGGATTTGGAGAAACTGAGCCTATTTATACTATGCCTCTCCCAACAAGCCACTTGTCGTTACTAATCTATGTGACACAGTCAATATATCAATAGGCGAAACTTCAATATAATAACGATGACATCAATTGCCTTCGACAAGGATTGGTTAGAAAAGAGTCTTGACATGCAATTCTATTCTTATGATAATTTGATCAATAGCCGCTGCATAGGCCATGGTGCAGTTGGTGTAGTTTTCAAAGCAACCTAGCAACATCGGGCATCATTGTTGCTCACAAGTTGATCAGATCATACATTCGGACGAAGGCGAGACTTTGTAAACGAGGTTTATAATCATGCATGACGGAACTGTTGCTAGGTCTACGAAACTATGGTCTTATATGTTGTCCGTTTCGCAATGACCCATATTAACATATTGTAAGATTGAACCCACGTTTTCTTTGTTTGTTGTTTCAACCTCAGCCTATAACACCGGATGAGCCATTTTCCTTGTATTTGGGTGGTGTTAAACTAAATTCGGATAAGTCAATAATAAGTCTAACATATGTAAGTAATTAACGACAACTACAACAATAACAACGGCAATAATAATAGCAACAAGTCGCTCGACTATTAATTACAGTTCAAATCTCCAATCCGATTATTATCTTACTTCCCGTACATTAAGTATTACAGTGCGAATAAACCAATAAAAACAAAAAAAGAACGAATAACGAAAAAAAGAGAAGAATATATTTATAGAAAACACATAGAAAAAACACGCATGTATATATTCAACTATAGCCTAGTATATTAATAACACAAATATGACGACACAAACTATATACAAGTGACTCTCGATATAAGAACCCTTCGATATAAGAAAATTTCGATATAAGAAAGTAATTTTGCTGGACCCGATTTAAAATCTTATAACAAATGACTCTCGTTATAAGAGATTTTCGATATAAGAAAGGAATTTGTTGGGTCCCGATTACTTTCTTATATCGAGAGCCACTTGTAATAAGCAATTTGTTTACAACCCCAATTAACCAAACTCAATCAACGAATACCTATATTGCGTAATTCCATCTCCCTTGCGAACAAGAATAAAGCTCTGCAGACAATTAAACATAACACCAGCCTCCATTAAACATATTCCACCAATTTATATGCATAAAACCACTACTTTATGAACAATTAATTAACACAAATCTCTGCAGAGCATATCTCAAGCATCTCTAGTTTATTTATCAAATACAATAAGTAATTAGATGTAAGATTAATTATTAGCTAACAATATATTAATATTATTTGTCTGCATTAAATTCTATGTGTTTGCTAATAGCCAATAAGTATTATTGAAAGCTTAATCAAAAAGTCGTTGTGAACAAGCATTTATTTTATCTACCACTTTACCTGATCAGTAGCGTTAACCTTCACAGGAGCCTCGCATTTGAATACTGCTGTAACTTTGTCTACAAAAAAATGGTTTCAATAGTGTAAGACTTTATTTCATAAATATGCCAATTTTTACATAAACGTCTTTCACGTACCATCATCCTCATATCCGTTGCCATACCACACGTTTTCCACAATATATTTATTAGGATTGCCTTTGACCTGATGAATAAGGACTGGTGTAGGCAGAACTTCGTGAGTTGGTAATCGCTTGGCGGCAGTATAAACAGCCAGGAGAAGAAGAGAAAGTATAGTAATGTGTGCAAATTTCATTTTTACTTCAAAAATTGCAAGATTTTTTTCTACGAACGTTTCAACGCGTTTGGAAAGATTTATATAGAACAATTGCGACTGATGATCAGGTCTTCTAAGTCTTATTTGGGATGTGGTAAGAATTGACTAATTTGCTATATACTAATTTGTTAACGTCCAAGTAAATTGATAGAATTTGATTATGCATCGAAATACGTGAGATTGTGATACCATTTGTGATACATTCATCATCATTTGTGACATCATGAGTAGAACTGTTTACACGTTTGGATGTATCGGCGTTTGTTATACATGAGCAAAAATTGTTTACTGGCCAGGATGTATCGATCTTTTTGTGATAATTGCATACTGATCGGTATCGATTGTTACGATCGTTTGTGATACATGAGAATCACCAACGTATCGATCGTTTTATCAACATGAAATGATTTAACTACTCGGTAGCCCAATTCAAAATTTGCGTGGACTATTACGGTGAGTAAACATTATACTGATCTGTTAAACGTAATTAGAAAAGGGTGGTTTCACTTAAGAAATTACCAATCAGAACGTAGCGTATTAAGGCATACAGAAATGGTTTAGCATCTAGTCGGAGAAGATGTTTGTAAAGCCGGGAAGATTCAACAAAACAGAAAGAATAAGTTTCGTTTAATTAAAAGTTTCTCTAACCTTAAATACGTACAGTATCTATTAATAAACTATAATATTAATTCATATTAATATATTTATTTCTTGTGGTTAAGATATTAATATGAGATTGCAACAATAATTCTATGTAAATATAATATTAATCTTCTTTAAGTTATACGTACGTACCAATTAAGGCAAAACATTATGTTCAATGTTTCGAAGAAAGTCCGCAAGCGACATGTTGTCATTATTATTAAAAAAATTGTTTGGATTCTTGTTTCACGTTCGATAAAATGTCTTCTTTGCTGCAAAAGGCGCGACGTATTTCGCAAATTTGCTTTTCTGTTAAATTTACCTTTACTATTATAATTTTAAAACATGAGCAGAATTCGATACCAAGAATTTCGAGTCTAAGGAAATGCATACTCCATATTATTGACGACTGACCAAAATAATATTAACACTTGTTTAATACGATAATTAAAACATAAACAATTAGTTGTACTATAATTAGAAAAAAAAAGTGGTTACATTAATTCTATTACCACTATGCATATGACGATCGTTAAAGCAATAAGTATAATTCAATAGTAGCATGATAAAGGCAGTGCCGGTGAGTTTAAATAAGACAACGCCATACAAAACGACTGATAGTCCAATGAACATCAATCTACATACACCTTGGTGAAATGAACATTTTCTCATTCGGAACAGTCAAAGTAAAATTTGAACTTGAACTGTACCGGATTCATTGCCATTTCAAATATTGGTAAATCGATCGGTACATTCAAAGTTTCGTGTTGGCATGCGCTCTCCTCTTGCGGTCAGATGCCCATTGACCCTGGATCAAGGGTTATGCATTCGGTGTGTTTGTTCTGCTCACGGACTGCTCAATAAACAATTTTAACTACTTCATGTGATGTGTGTATCACAAAGGATTGATTTTCTACTCATGGTATCACACTTTCTCGTTTTAACCAATGTCCGACGCATAATCAAATTCTGCTGATTTGCTTGGACGTTAACAAATTAGTATGGCAAAATAGTCAATTCTTACTACATGCCAATTAAGATTTTGAAAACCTGATCGTCGCTCGCAATTGTTTTATATAAGTCTTTTCAAACGCGCGTTGCAAGTTTGTAGAAAAAATTTGCAATCTTTGAAGTAAACATGAAATTTACCCACATTATTATACTTGCCCTTCTTCTCCTGGCTGTTTATACTACTGCCAAACCAACTGACGAGGATCTAAAAAATAAATTACGCAAACTGCGGGACAAACTGCGGGGCGAACTAGGGGACAAACCACGGGACAAACCACGGGGTAAACCCAAACCACGGGCAAAGATAGTGGACTATATACCTGCTACCGAAATTCTGCCTTTACCAGTCTCTGTTGAAACAGTCGATGACGCGCCTAATAACTACCTTGTAAAAAGTTCGTTATATTCCAGTGGATATGAAAATTATGGTATGTTAAGATGTTTGCATAACATATATGTCTCTCGTATTAGATATCGTAATGCTTATAGAAACATTTTTGCTAGGTAATTTTACGACCAAACTTACATGCGAAGACGGTGTAAACGTTAAGTCAATTAAACCGAAGGTAATTAATAATAGAATCAACTACATTTGCTTTTATAGCAAGGAATTTTACAATTATACTAAATTTCTCCTTTTAAATTAAACTTTTAAACAGTTTAATAAAAACGAAAGTGACTCCCTTAGAAGCGACTTTAAATTGGTTGTTCCCCCAACCAAGAAGATAGTGACTTGTGTTAAACATGTGGCTGAAGGAAATACTTCTATGATTATTTCTTTTAGTTTTTAATCCTATACACGACGACTAAACAATGCGGTTTAATTTAATAGATTGTTGTCTGTTTGTATTGTTACTCCAAGTAATTTTTTAGATAATAATTAATGGTTATTAGTAGATATTAATATAGACTTTGATGCATCTAAATATTTTATTATTACAAGCAAAGACCAGATATTTGTCTTTGAGTGTTTAATTACATAATTGGCAATAAACTTACTGAGCAAGCGACCATACATTATAAAACCAATGTCGATGTTAATATTGATGGTTTTAAACTTTTTTATTCGCACTAGAAGTGTATTGTGTGTTTCATCGGTCAGCTTTAGCAATTTTAGCATATCTGTTGTTTATTGCTTTGTTTCATACTATAACTTTTTCAATACTTTAATTTGACCATCAATCTTAGTTCTCCAAGATTTTTTAAGTTCCTATTGTGTATGGTATAAACTATCACTCCGTGTGCTGTGTGTGCCAAGTTACTGCGAATTATTCTTCCTGGTCTTGCTCAACTTCTTATTCGCAGTTTGATCCTGCTCCAACCACTCCTCCTAAAATATAAGACTGGAGTTGCCTAAACCGAGTAACAATTTTGATCGATATTAAGATGCAATTACCGTGAATAAGTGCCGTAATGTTATAAAATAGCTGATCCCTCAGCCCCCTTATCACATCAACAATCGACGTCATTTTGCATTGTTTTTAAGGCGCAACAAATAAGAGTCCCCTTATATGACGAAGGTGGGCTCTTATTCACACAAATACTAGTCCTTTCTTACAGCCTAAGTCTATTACTATGTTCCTTGATCGTAATTAGAAATAATCCATTCGCATTATACTTGTTGAAAAGACTTGTTGTTACTATTTTATCAGTATACTTGAGTATAAGTTCTAAGATACAACTTCTATGGTTTCCGCGCAATTTTTTTTGTAAACTAAAATTTTACAGTACGTTCAACACATTGCTTTATTTTATTTAATATTATGAAATTGCATATCAGCACTTTCTATTTCCATATTAGAGACAAAAACACAATGACTTTTCAAAAACAATAGTTCAACAGCGCACTACAAAATTAAAAAGATCTTTTGATTTCATAACTAGAGGTGTGTGATGCCCGATTCATCGGTCGGCTTTAGCATGTTTTATCATAGGATAAATTTAATCTTGGAATCAGTGCGAAGAACTCATCTCAAGAAAAATGTTGTAATCATACTCTTGATCAATAAAGGTGTTTGTAATTTTGTGTTCGATAAAAACAAATTTATGCTTGCATTTTAAGGGTGATATAATTCTGTTTTTTTTTTTGCGCTAATGCTTTACCTTAGAGTGGTAGTTGTTTCAATGGGAAGAATTAAATAGTTTACTAGATTTTGCATTGTGTGACAACCTTGCGATTTGTGAGCGTTTTGACGTTGTTATTTTACAAAAAAATACACCCAATTATTTACTACAGTAAGACTCAAAACAGAGGTGTTTGTAAGTCAACCTGTCAGCACAACTCGGATTCTGTGACGCTTCACCAGTCCTAATAAGTATACTATCGGTTTACAAACGAATATTTTTTCTTTACTGATGATAGGTCTTCGTTATCTTCGAATTTAAACGTCACAAATTGCAGCATAGGTAGATTTATTTCAAACGCTATGTTATTATTTATTTTTCTTGTTGGAATAATTCATCGCTATTCTTATTTCTATTGTTCGGGAAATTACAATGCTTTTAAAGATAGATTATACGAACAAATATAGCAATTTGTCATTATAAAAAATGAATAAATTTTTGACAGTTTGATTATGCTACGTAATAATGATTGACCGTTTTTTCTTCACGAAAGAAAATTTTGATAATTTGTTTAATGGCAAGACAATAATGCTCTGGAAAATCGTATAGCGATTATTCAACAAACAGATGAAAATATGACATACGCAGTGAATATGTTACGCAGCAATTCCAACACTTTATTTGTTAAATCGAGTTTCAAATATATAAGATATTGAAAAGCGAATCGTTGGATTGGCCATAAAAGTTCTCCGTAAGATAGGCGGTAAAGCGATGTTGAAATGGCACTTTTTCACTAATAATGACCCCTACCTTAGGTCGATCTTTAACCATAAATAGAGACTAAATTGTCCATAAAGGGTAAGTAGTGCTGGAAAATAATTGAGCGTTATACATGTATGGGTTCGATCTTATATTAGTGATGAGAACTTGCGTAATGCAAATCTTCCTTGTTATTGTTTTTTGGCAATAATCAACACCAAAAACGCCTTTTGACTTAAGTTATGCTATATGTTATATGTAATATACCTTACGCCTATGCTTTATGCTATGCTTTGGGCCGCAGAAAATGCTTTTCGGAAACTACCAAATTTTTGGTTAAAAAAATAACAAAGAGTATCGCCCTACAATACGATTTTGTTCACATCCAAATGTTGATCCACTCATTGGTGTTGTTAGTGTCACTCACTATATCAAAAAGGGCTATGTTGACATCCTACTGCATGGGCTGCTTTTGTTATCGATATCATCACTATCATAGGGATCAGTTTAATTAAAATCATACTGATGCCATTGTCTCGATACCCGTCTGCGCTTTACAGTCGCAGAATTTTACACTCTTTATTGCAATTTGCACTTATAAGGGTGCGTGTAACAGAATTGATATTATCACTATCAGTTTAATTAAATTTGTATGCGTGACTTGTCGGACTCGTTAACCAGTGAAAAAATTTTACTGCGATTGTCACGATATGATGTAATGAATCACATTGGCACAAGTCTTGTCAAAGGAATCCACGTTCTAGCATTAACGAGGGCCGAAGCCCCCAAGCAATTCTGGCCTAGTTAATGTAAACAAAATTTAATTTATTGTATGTTTAGGGTGATATGGTTTTTGTTATCAACAAAAAATTTCTTAAGTGGTGGTTTTTCCGACAAACATTTTTTGCAGCCCAAAGCATAGTACTGTATGTAGCATTTATGCCCAATAATACAATAAAATTTATGCTTAACATATTACTATCGTTGCGGCACTCAACTGTATCTTCATACATGTTATGGTACGTTCTGGGATTATACCCATTTCGGTTTTGTAAATGTGATATGCCTTTCGATTATACCTATTTCTTTAATGTCATACACGTAAAGGTTTTATTATCGAAAGGGCTCCTTAACGAAATTAACACAAATAAAAGGTCAACCCCCCTATTCGACAATAACCTGATTTCAATTTCACTATTTCATTGGTAACATCCAACGATTGATTTACAAAAGTAGTAAGGCGTGTGGATAAATTTAGTTAGCATCATGCAGCGAATAAGCGTTTGTTTTTACATAAATTTATATTTAAATTTAAATTTAAATTCAATTTAAATTCAATTCAATTCAATTCAATTCAATTCAATTCAATTCAAGTTCAATGATAAATTGAATAAGGGAGGGAGGTTGTTTATATAGGCTTCCGTAAAAAATTGTGGGAGTCACAAAAAAAT